ATCCAGAAAAAAAAAATTGTTGAATCCAGGTAATGGTTATTTATTTTTTCATTCTTTCCACTTTTTTATGTTTGAAAATTTTCATAATCAAAGTCAATTTTTCTCTATATTCTTACATATTTAAAGACTATTTTTAAATAATCTCTACACTCAACGTGGGTTCAAACTTACAACCCCATGATCAAGAGTCACATGCTCTACCCACTGAGCCAGCTAGGTGCCCCTATATTCTTCCATATTTTAAAATTCTTTCTGTGATTTTTGCCTAGGATAGTATTCAATTTCTAGATTAACTTGAAGAAAATTGACATAGTTAGAATACTGAATTTCTTTAATAGGAATTTTTTTTTTTCCAATTTATTTGAGATAGAGCATGAGCAGGGGGAAGGGGCAGAGGGAGAGGGAGAAGCAGACTCCCCACTGAGCAGGGAGCCTGGTGCTGGGCTCAATCCCGGGACTCCGGGGTCATGACCCAAAGCAAAGGCAGAAGCCTAACCGAGTCACTCAGGCGCCCCAGGAATTTCTTAAAATGTTAATTTTCTTTAAAGGAAAAGGTATATCTTTGAATTTATTTAAGTCCTTTCTTACTTCAATAAGTAAACCACCATAGGTATATTATGAGCATGACTTTGTGTATTGTGCTTTGATCCTACCACTGTTATTGGAAGAAGGTATAGCCTAAATCCATAGGAATGCAAACATTTTTCATTAAATATAGACTTCTCAGCTTCTTTTGTTCACAAGGGAGATAGTATTTTAAATTACTGTCCTGACTAATTTCAGTTCCTCCTCTGGCTTATAATGCCCAGAGGCCTACTGGGGCAAAAGAAATTACACCTATTACTGCCTAACCAAAGCAGAATCCACTACATCAGGGACACTTTCATTTACACCAAGGCCCAACAGAACTTTGAAATGAAACTATTTTAGTCTGGAGTTTGGGGCAGTGTGGTCTCTCATCACCTCATTTTTGTAAGTATCAAGGAGGCTCTTATGAGGATTTATTAACCTTATGTTCACAGTAAGCTCTAGGGGCACCATAAGATTGTGATTTCCTGCTGTATTTACTTCCAATGGGCTTTTTAAAAAAATGAGATATAATTAACATGCAATAAAAGCAAAGATCTGGATGTTAGTTCAGTGAGTTTTAAAGTTATATATACCTGTGTAACCACCACCCAAAACAAGATACAGAATCAGTGGTCCTTACAGAAATACCATTCATGAAATGTAAGCATGATTCCCTATGCTAAGCCCATGTCCAGACCATCCCCCTTGCCATTCCAATCCATCTGCCACCCTTCCTTTGTCCCTCCTTGCTGCCCTCCATCTCCACCTCTGACACCCCTTTGGCACCATACCTCAGCTTCTGTATCTTCCCTCCCACTCACCCTGATTGAGTGGGACAGGCTCTCCTGGCTGGGATCTTGGTCCTCTTCCTCAGACAGCACTGAGGTACAAAATTCGCTGCAGACCCAAGTTGTGCCTGCATTTGGCCCTAGCTGCCGGCCCCACTCCACCAGACCTCCCATTGGGGCTCCAGAGTGGTAGAAGTGAGCGTGCTGCGGGTAGTAATCAGCAGAGATAATCAGATAATGTGAAGTAGCTAATAGCCTCCACCTTCACTACACACATTTGTCTTTCCAATTGTTGCAGGACAAGAAAGACATCCCTTGTCTGACTCTGCCCTTATCCACACAGTTAGAAGTAAATTAAAGGCATCAATTTCAAGTCACTTCTGTAGCTGTAGAAGTGTAAAAGCAATTTATTCTTTATCTCCTGTTGTGGCTGGCAGAATATTCCCTGCAAAGACTTTGGAAGAGCACTAGCCAGCAATTCTAATATATCGGGTGATTTTTCTGTCTTTTTGTTACAAATTGTCTTGTCTATGAGGAGATCCTAGCCCAGTCTTTTTTCTCCCTCCCACCCACTATTTTCCATAGGAATAGAGAGGACAGGAAAGAGTAAAATACATATTCTTATTTGGTGGGAGGTTTTTACATCTTTTTTTTCCTTCTTCAATGATACCAGAGCACAAATGGACAAATTAAGTTGGATTCTCTATTAATTTCATTTTTTGAAAGATTTATTTATTTATTTGAGAGAGGCGGGTAGAGAGGGAGGAGGAGAGAGAGTCTCAGGCCAACTCCATGCAACGCAGGGCTCGATCTCATGACCCTGAGATCAGGACCCTGAGATCATGACCTGAGCGGAAACCAAGAGTCCTATGCTTAACTGACTGCACTACCCAGGCACCCATAATTTCATTTTTAAATGCAGATTCAAGTGAGCAGTGAATTGTCTTATCCAAGGTTAGGGGCTATGCAAAAGACAAAAACAGAAAGCAGAAATGACCCATAATATAGGCAGTCAGCTTCTAGAAATTGTCCATAAAAGTGAATTGTCGGGGTGCCTGGGTGGCTCAGTCAGTTCAGCATCTGCCTTCAGCTCAGGTCATGATCCCGCGGTCCTGGGATCGAGCCCCACGTCGGGATCCCTGCTCAGCCGGGAGCCTGTTTCTCCCTCTCCCTCTGCCTGCCGGCTCCCCCTGTTTGTGCTGTCTCTCTCTCTGTCAAACGAATAAATAAAATCTTTAAAAAAAAAAATGAATTGTCATTTAATAATATTTATGGAAAGAAAAGCAATTATGTTTTCACATTTAATCTATTAATCCTTTTAGCTTATGAACTACTAAATATTATATAAAAAAGAACGTTTCTGACTTCAATCTAGCTGCCAAAATAACAGTACAATGTATTTAGAAGTGAAGAGTTTGCAGGTCAAACTTGGCCTTTGGCCAGCATGTCCATTTCCTGGACCATGCTCCACACTGCTCCATAGTAACTTTCAAAATGGCAAATCTAATCATATCATTTTATCAACTAAAATGTTCTAACAGCTCCCTGCCCCATTTAGAGAGTCTTGAATTTATTTTCTGGACCATCGTACACATTTCTGTGAGAGTCATCATTATTATTATTTTAGTTTAGTTTGAAAATTTCAAACCTATAAGTTAATTTAGGGAGAAAAGCTTACTGTCTGAACCACTTGAGAGAATATTACAGATATCATGACCTCTATCTCCTAAGAACAGGAACATTTTCCTACATAACCATAATGTTATTGTCAAATTCAGGAAATTTAACATTCCTACAGTACAATTATCAAATATTTAGTCCATCTTCACAATTCACCAATTGTCCTAATAATGTCCTTTTTAGCATTTTTTTCCTTGACCCAGGAAACAGTCCTTTTCCTAACAGCTAGCCTGAGGATGTGCATTTTTGCAGTTTTCTACCCTGATGGTGCATTCTCGATGTATCAGGTTAGGAGGCCCAGGATGACAGTTTGCCTTATTCTGGGTAATTATGAACTTTGATCACTGGGTTCATTAAGGTGTTACCTGCCAGTTTTTTCCACGATAAAGGTATAACTTTTCCCTTTGTAATTAATAATTTGTGGGGAGATACTTTAAGACCACAAACTTCCACCCAGTGATTTAGTACACACTGATGATTCTGAACCAATTACTATAATGGTACAGACTAGTGACTTTCTAATTATGCTCTACATTTATTAATTGGCATTCTTTGGAAAGGGGAGCTGCTTTTTTTTGTATGTATGTGTGTACATATGTATGTGTGCATATGGATGGGTGGATTATGGATTATTCATTTCTTGTTTTCTATAAATCCCGTAGTGTCATTATATATTTTGATCAAATTGTCCCCACCTTGACTAGTGGATGGCACTTCATGTTAGTTTCTGTGTCCCACTGACATGTCCCCATCAATTGTTTAGTGTTTTCTTACTTTCTGGCACAAGATGTTCCGGGTTTAACTTGTCCTCCCCCTGCCCCTGCCCTGGAATCAGTTATTCCTTCAGGAAGGTCTGGCTCTCTTCACTGGGATCAAATATTTAAAAAGGCCTCTGAGACCTGACTCTGGCCTCATCTACAACTTCTCCTGCGATTCCTTCCCTGCTTGCGTGCTCAGCCACATACCCTCCCAGAGTCCCCAGAGTGCCGTGCTCCTCTCTACTCTGGCACTTTCTGTGCCCTCTTTCTGGAGGCCCTTACCACCACTTTTCTGTGTGGCTAGTTCTTACTCTTTTTCACAACTATTCAAGTACTAACTTCTCTGACCACCTTAGCTTCCCACCCTGACCTGTGCCCCTGGCAGCACTAACTCTGTAACCCCCTCTCACATGGTAGGGAGATTGCAGCTCAATGCTGTTTTTGTTTTGTGTTTAAATAGCATTTTTTTTTTTTTAAGTAATCTCTACACCCAACGTGGAGACTCGAACTCACAGCCCTGAGATCAAGAGTCACACACTCTACCCATCTCATTGATTCACTTTACATTTGCCCGATTACCAGTGTGAGCATATCTGCTTTCTGTGTGGGAAACAGAAAATAGTATTGTTCAAGAGAACATGAGAACTGGCATTATAAAACAATGAGGTTGATATTCTTTGCTGCACTCCGTTTTTAGCTGAGTCTTCTGTAAGTATCAACTAATATAGACAAGGTAATGCAATGACAATTTGATTATTACTTACAAAATAACTTTTTATTAAATAGATAATACATCCACCTGGCTCAAAATTCAATATTTTTGTATATAGGTATAGTCTCTGCATATACAAGCTCACATCTGTTGTTATATACCCTGTGAGTGGTTAACCTTTATATCTTAAAATGACATAAGAAAACTTACAGAATGAGTTTGATAATTTTTAATGGAGATGTGTTTGATTACACTGCAGCATATACATTCGGAGTCAATATTAGAATAATTTCTTAACAGGGGCGCTTGGGTGGCTCAGTCAGTTAAGCGTCTGGCTTCGGCTCAGGTCATAATCCTGGAGTCCCAGGATCGAGCCCAGCATCGGGCTCCCTGCTCTCTCTTCCTCTCCCTTTGCCCTTCCCCCTGCTCCTTCTCTCTCTCTCATTCTCTCTCTCTCTCTCTCTCACAAATAAAATCTTTTTTTAAAAAAGAGAATAACTTATCAACATTAGTAAATGAATACCTTTTCTTTCCTTAAGAAAGTAGCTTATGCTTAAATTGTTTCTCCTTGGTCACAGGTCTCTCTGCCAGAATGGTTCTAGTACAATATTTTATTTTCCTAATTACACAACATAACATGGATCATTGTTTCCAATGTTTTTTTATGGAGGTATAATTGATATAACATATTAGTTTCAGGTGTACAATACAATGATTTGATATTTGTATATATTGCAAAATGATCACCACAATAAGTCCAGTTAACATCTGTCACCATACATAGTTACAAAATTTGTCTTTCTTGTAATGAGAATGTTCAAGATCCACTCTCAGCTACTGTCACATATTCAGTAAGGTGGGGTGCCTGGGTGGCTCAGTTGGTTAAGTGGCACCTCCTGATTGCAGCTTGGGTCATGATCTCAGGGTTGTGAGACGGAGAATCAAGCTCCACGTGGAGCCCCACGTCCAGCCCCTCATTGGGCTCTGCACTGGGTGTGGAGCCTGCGATTCTCTCTCTCCCTCTCCTTCTGCCCCTCCCCCTTCTCTAAAAAAAATATGCAGTAAGGTATTATTTATTTATTTATTTATTTTTAAGATTTTATTTATTTATTTGAGAGAGAGAGAGAATGAGAGACAGAGCACGAGAGGGAAGAGGGTCAGAGGGAGAAGCAGACCCCCTGCTGAACAGGGAGCCCAATGTGGGACTCAATCCCGGGACTCCAGGATCATGACCTGAGCCGAAGGCAGTTGCTTAACCAACTGAGCCACCCAGGCGCCCTAGTAAGGTATTATTTAAAGATTTTATTTATTATTTTAGAGAGAGCGAAAGAGTGGTAGGAAGGGGTGGAGGGAGAGCAGAGGGGCAGGGAGAGGGACAAGCAGACTCCACACTGAGCATGGAATTGACATGGGGCTCGATCCCATGACCAAGATCATGACCTGAGCCAAAATCAAGAGTTGGGCACTCAAAAGACTGAGCCACCCAGGTGCCCCACAGTAAGGTATTATTAACTAGAGTCATCATGCTGTACATTACATTCCCATGACTTACTTATTTTAAAACTGGAAATTGTACTTTTTGACCCACTTCACCCATTTTGCCTACCCATGCCACAGGCAACCAACTGTCTACTCTCTGTATTCATCAACTTGGTTTTGTTTTGTTTTTAGATTCTACGTATAAGTGAGAGAATGCAGTATTTATCTTTTTTTATCTAACTTATTTCATTTAGTTTAATGCCCTCAACAGCAAATGGCAAGATTTCTTTCTTCTTATGGCTAAGTAATATTCCATTGTGTGTGTGCATGTATATGTATATGTATATATACACACACATATATGCATTTTCTTTATCCATTCATCCTTTGATGGATACTTAGGTTGCTCCCATGTCCTGATTATTGTAAATAATGCTGCAGTGTGCATGAAGGTGCAGATATCTTTTTGAGTTTATGTTTTCATTTTTTTGGATAAATATTCATAAGTGCAATTGCTGGATCTTATTGTAGCTCTACTTTCAATTTTTTGAAGAACCTCCATACTGTTTTCCATAGTAGCTACACCAATTATGTTCTCACCAACAGTACTTGAGAGTTCCCTTTTCTCCACATCCTTGCCAACAACACTTGTTATTATCTTTTTTATTTTAGCTGTTCTGACAGGGGTGAGGTGATACCTGATTGTGGTTTTGATTTGCATCTCCCTGATGATCAGTGATGTTGATCATCTCATCATATACCCGTTGTCCATCTGTTTGTCTTTGGAAAAATGCCTCCAATATATTTTTTATTATTTTTTTTCAATTTTGTTTTTAAGTAATCTCTACATCCAACATGAGTTTCAAACTTATAACCTTGAGATCAAGAGTCACATGCTCTACTGACAAGCTGGCCAGGTGCCCCTCCAATACTTTTTGTTTGGTTGGTTTTTTTGCTTGTTTGTGCAGTAGTTTCAGGGGTAGAATGTGATTCATCACTTGTATATAACACCCAGTGCTCATTATAACAAAGGCCCTCCTTAATGCCCATCACCCATTTACCCCACACCCCACCCACCTCCACTCCAGCAACCCTCAGTTTGTTCCTTAGTTAAGAGTCTCTTGGGGCGCCTGGGTGGCTCAGTCAGTTAAGCGTCTGCCTTCGGCCCAGGTCATGATCCCAGGGTCCTGGGATCGAGCCCCGCATCGGGCTCCCTGCTCCACCACAGGGAGCCTGCTTCTCCTTCTCCCTCTGCTTGCTGCTCCCCCTGCTTGTGCTCTCTCTCTCTGTCAAATAAATAAATAAAATCTTAAAAAAAATGTCTCTTATGGTTTGCCTCCCTCTTTGTTTTTATCTTATTTTTCCTTCCCTTCCGCTATGTTCATCTGTTTTGTTTCTTAAATTCCACATATGAGCGAGATCATATGGTATGTCTTTCTCTGATTGACTTATTCACTTAGCATTATACTGTCTAGCTCCATTCATGTTGTTGCAAATGGCAAGATTTCATACTTTTTGATGGCTGAGTAAGATTCCGTTGTGTATAGATACCACCACTTTTTTATCCATTCATCAGTCAATGGACATTTAGGCTCTTTCCATAGTTTGGCTATTATGGATAGTGCTGCTATAAACATCGGGGTGCATGTGCCCCTTCGAATCACTGTTTTTGTATCATTTGGATAAATAACTAGTTGTGCAATTGCTGTGTCATAGGGTAGTTCTATTTTCAACTTTTTGAGAAGCCTCCATACTGTTTTCCAGAGTGGCTGCACCAGCTTGCATTCCCACCAACAGTGTAAGAGGATTTCCCTTTCTCTGCATCCTCACCAACATCTGTTGTTTCCTGACTTGTTAATCCTCCAATACATTTTTGAAAGCATTTTCTTTTGCTTTATTTTCCTCTTGTGTGGCACACAGCATTAATTCACAGGAGGCCCTCATACTTGCCAATACGGACATGGGCAACAAAATATCAAAATATAAGCTTTTAGTCTAGAAAAATGGAGAGGAAAGTATACTGGTTTAAGCAGAATGATGAATGTTGTGCTTATGAGAGATGTATGCATGTTCTTGGAATTTTGAAGCTATTCTTTATTTATATCAAGTTAGTAAATACATTCACATGTGGCATTTTAAGTCTTTAGGAGTCAACGTCTGGAAATGTCAGTGATTAGAGGCTGCTCTCAGAGTAAAGTTAAATAACAGAGCTGGAATGATTTCTAAAGAAATCTTAAAAATACTCTGAGTGCTTACCTATTTTTAAAAATGGCATATAAGAAGACTGGCGTAAGATTAAAAATAATTTTCTAGAAACAAGTTTTACTTCCATAAGAGCTTTGATCAAATACCTCATCATGATGAATAAGGCTAATTACCCTGTGGTTCTTGTGAGCTGCTTTTAAAAATTCACGTGCAAACCTCCGAGCACTCCAATCTCCTGCCTTCCCCTCCAAGACATTCAAATCACTGTAAGGTTTTCTGCACCCTGCAAAGGGCTGTTTATCATTCAGTACCTATTTTGTTAGTTGCCCTGATACTCTTCCTGCCCTCCTTAAATATAGTCTGAATGATTAAAGGCAAAGATTCTGCTGTATCTGTCATTTAAATCTCCCATAATACCTAACACATAACTGGCCCTGGAAAACATCTTCTCCCTCATTATCAGACCACGTCCCCTGTAAGGCAGGAACTGCAGCACAGATCCCAAACAAGAAAGACACCGCTGTGCGGCTGTTCTAGGCGGGAACTGAATGTACAGCTTAGTAAAGCTACATGTTTTGAAGGTGTAAAAATTGCTTGTCCACTTTCTGTGTATGAATTGTGAAACAGTCAGGGCACCTAGGTGGCTCAGTCAGTTAAGCGTCTGCCTTTGGCTCAGGTCATAATCCCAGAGTCCTCAATGGGGAGCCTGCTTCTCCCTCTCCCCCTACCCATCCCCCCACACCTCCCCCGCCACTGCTCGTGCGTGCTCTCTCTTGCTATCACTCTGTCTCAAATAATCTTAAAAAATAAATGTAAAATATTTATCCTGAAAAGGCAGTTATTGGACAATAATATAAGGTACAACCCAATTAATACATCTACAAAACAGGCTATGATATATTTATATGTGTGCATATACAAAAGAATACAAAAGGTACAAAGAATGATGGAACAGATACCCATGTACCCAACTACATCACTTAAATGAAATTTTGCCAACCTAGCCAAACACCATTTCTGTACACTCTAATCACTTCTACCTTCATTCCCCCAAAGATATTCATTCTCCTTAATTTGCTATTTATCACTGCCTTGCATTTCTTTAAAACTGTCAGACATATGTAGGTATCCTTAAACAATATATACTTCTTAAAACTTTATGCCACAGGGACACCTGGGTGGCTCAGTTGGTTAAGTGTCTGCCTTCGGCTCAGGTCATGGGTCCTGGGATCGAGTCCCACATCAGGCTCTTTGCTCAGCAGGGAGCCTACTTCTCCCTCTGCCGGCCACTCTCCCTGCTTGTGCTCTCTCTCACTCTGTCAAATAAATAAATAAATAAAATCTTAAAAAAAAAAAAGCCAGATTTCAGTGTCTTCCCATTTGTAAGGTTTGTTTCCAGTTATATGATTTGTAAAAGCTTCAAAATGAGAGTTTTTGGCACACCATTCATTAAACTCATTAAAGATTTCCAACTTAAAAGAAATCAAAACATACAGGACCCATTTTAAAAAAATGTTATCAGTGAGGACAACACAGGTCGATTTACAAAAGCAGTTCTTTAACACTTCAAACATTTCTAATGTCTGCTTAGTGGTGGACAACATAGAAAGTCCAGGGTGTCATGCTTGTTTTTTTAAAAAAATATTATTCAGGGGCACCTGGGTGGCTCAGTTAAGCATCAGACTCTTGATCTCGGCTCAAGTCTCAATCTCAAGGTTGTGAGATTGAGCCCTGTATGGGGCTCCCCACTGGGCATGGAGCTTACTTAAAAAAAATTATTACTCAACATCAGCTGCTCATATTTTTTCTTTGGTTATTGTATATACATGTTTAAAAAATTGATAAATTTTGTCAAAACTACAGTGAGATACGACTGCACACCCATTAGAATGGCCATTATATATATAAAAAAAAAAATAATAGGGGCACCTGGCTGGGTCAGTAGAGCATGAAATTTTTGATCTCCAGGTTGTGAGTTCGAGCCCCATGTTGGATGTAGAGATTACTTAAACAAACATCTAAAAAAAAAAAATAGAAACAAGTTGGTGAGAATATGGATGGATCTGCCTGTGGTGTAGTTGTAGCCTTAGAAGCCCCAGGAAGTCTCAGGTCTCAGGCATAGGTCGCAGGCCATACTTTATGTGGCGGTCTTAGTTTTAACTCTCTACTGCACAAGGCCTTTGAGTTGGCTGAGGAACATTCCTGGGATGAGCACAAACCTCAGGGCAATCAACAGCTCCAGGGCATGGTCATCAGCCTTGTTTCTACTTCTGCTTTTGGCCCTGGTGATTTCCTTTCTTACTCAAAGTTCAGCTTAAAAAAAAGATGTTTCTTCTCTGTGAAATGGGCATGATGATGATATCAATTCTATAGAGCTAATGTATGTTAAGCACTTGGAATACTACCTGGCAAATAATTAGCACGATAAAAGTGCTAGATAGTATTCTTTGAATAGTATTGCTATGTATTTATTGTAGGAAGGTTTTACAAAATTTTGAGTCTAGTACATTATTGGGTACAGAGCACATTTATATATTTCACAGTGCCTATGAGAAATAATTTTTGTATTGGGGTGCCTGGGTAGCTCAGTCAGTTAGGCACCCAACTCTTGATTTCTGCTCAGGTCACAATTTTGGGGTTGTGGGATTGAGTCCCTCATCAGGCTCTGTGCTCAGGGCAGAATCTACTTGTCTCTCTCCCTCTGCTCCTTTCCCCCCCCGCAAATAATAAATAAACAAACAAATAAATAAAATCTTTAAACAACAAAAAGTTTTTTTGTATTAAATATGTTTGTTTGGGTCGGCAATTTACCACTGCACTGTTTAACTGTTATCTCCCTGAAGCTACATAAAGAACATTTATGTATCTTAGGAAAATGTACTATACGTTTACAAATATATAAAGTTTTGTGTAAGCTATTATTCAGCAGTTGTAAGTCTAAAATCAGCAAAGGGATCTGGGTCACCAGTCCTTCCTTACTATAAAAAACAGCACAAAATTGCTTAATTTTAAATTTCATGAGAAATTCCATTTTTATTGATTAAAAAATGTTTATGTATATATACACAAACATACATTAAAATATTTGGATACTTGAAATATATTTGTGTGTGACCTCATATGCTTGATATAAAAATTTATAAGTTCAAAGCAGTATATACTTGCTAATAATTACCAACATTTTGCTCTTACCATACTTTTCATCAGAATTTCTTTGCAACTAAACCTATTAAGATTCTAGAGAAATAAAAGATGACAACAATACACTAAATAAAAGCAATCTGGCAACCAAACCAGTGTACATTTAAGTTACAAAGTTTTTTTTTTAGTTTAAACAATTCTTAAAATCCTTTCAAAAAGCATACTGAAGCATATTTTAAATACATTATCTTAAATACATAAAACATTTTTTTCTCCTTTTATTCCTCCCCACAAAAAACCTAGTGAAATGGGTAGTGGGTGTGTGGTACAAGGTGCCTTGGACACAGGCTATGCAGAAGGTCTGGTTTGCCATATTTCCTCTGAGTAAAGCAGTGAGGATAGAAACATGTGGACAGCAGCCGATATAAATGCAACTTTGCAGAACTTGTTATGTAGGAATATATTCTTCATATAAATTTAAAGAACTTTTCCTGGCCAAAAAAAATGACTCATGCTCATTATACAATAGTTCGGAGATAAAGAAAAGTATGGAAAAGAAAATAAAGACACCTGTAATCCTACCATATAGAGGTACCTACTGGCAATATTCTGGTGTTTATTTCCTATATTTTTTCCTAAGCATACAAAAATATAAACATATAAAAAATATGATTATATTATTTACAGAATTTGATATCCTGCTTTTTGGTGAGTTGCTTACCTTTACCATTTATATGTTCTTCAAAAGAATTTATTATTTTAATGGCCAAGAGAAACTTTCATTGAATGGATATACCATAATGCAAAATATAGAATGGTATTTCTAATTTTATAGCTTTTAAAGTTTTATATAAATAAAATTGTATTTCACATAAAATTTTAAAAGCTATAGAATTATATAGATCATATTTTTGACAACTAATGCCTCCCAGCATGCAATGACTGGTACATGGTCTCTTCATGTTTTCATAACTCGTCAAAGGCTGGGACACGCCAACAAGTTAGACACTGCACAAGGATACCCGACTCTGAACATTTCAGGTCCTATCCCAAGGGTCCATTTGAAAGTGACAACAGTCTATGCCATTACACATGGATAACTGAAGGTCTGCTTGTAAAGTCCACGTGCTGAACTCCTACAAGCTGTAAAACAGAGTTGATGGGTTTGTGATCCAACCTATTTTTATCACGGTGTATAAAATGGATGTTGTTACCTAGAAGAGAATAAAAGGCAAAGGTAGGCATATAGATTCATTAGATTTATTGCTTATTAGAATCAAGGAATCTTTTCAACTTTTAATTAGTCTAAAGGGAAAAATTGATTGCCTGGAGTTCATAATATTCTCTGTATAATGCCCTAATAATTTTAAATTAAGGTAATAAAGCATGACATGGATTATGGTTAAATAAGAGTGATACTTAATGTTTTATGAGATCCAAGGGGAAAGATTCTTAAATTATAACCTCCGTTAGGTTTTATTAGATGTAATTAAATAAAATATCCTGTCAAACAGACAGGCAGAATATGGAACTAGCATAAATATCAAGCTGGAAAATCACATCTGTTTCTTAAATGTAATAATGGAATAAATCACTTGCTTCAAAAAAAAAAAAATTCACTGCCAAACACTGATTTAATAGGTTATCTGCATTATAATCATAGACCAAAAGAGGCTAAAAAATCAGGGCATTGAGACAGTCAGTTACAATACACTTAGATGTCCACAATCCTTTTATCTGCTCAAATTAAAAAGTCATAATTTATAGGTCTAGGGTCTTTTTTACTTTGATTCTTGGACTCAAGACCAGAATTTTAACTTAAAACATAAGATTAAGTAAATATTATAAGAGGCATGTTTTTGGGCGCCTGGGTGGCTCAGTCGGTTAAGCATCTGCCTTTGGCTCAGGTCATGATCCCAGGGTCCTGGGATCGAGTCCTGCATCAGGCTCCTTGCTCAGTGGGGAGCCTGCTTCTCCCTCTGCCCACCACTCCCCCTGCTTGTGCTCTCTGTCAAATAAATAAAATCTTAAAAAAAAAAAAGGCATCAGTAATCTACAGTAATCACTGTATATTTAATATCATAAATTAGCTTATTATCAAATAAGGCAAAATGAAATATAGGTTTAACCATGAAAGGTTTCTATAAATAAGTATACCCAGCTCTTCCCTTAGAGGAGCTACATTTCTTCCAGCAGGTAGTATCAAAATATACTCCTTACATAGTCTTCACATACTCAATTATGTTCCCAACTTGGCACACAAATGATGCTCTCTGTGCGCTGGGTCACCCTTACACATCTGAACATGTGGTCAAATGATGCTGAGACATGGAGATTAGGGACTCAAATCGGGTCTGAAGATGGAAACAAGCCATCCAAAAATATGGCTCAAGGTCATTCAGGGCTAATCTAGAGGACTCATTCTCATAAAATAGGGCTTCTCTTTTTTTCTAGTCTAACTGGTATAAATTCACAAGAGAGGGAAAGAGAGATTAAATTACAGGTTTTAGCTAGCTAAAGTGCTCCAGCTGCAGAAAGCCAAAAAGCCATAATGCTTGGTCAAAAGCCTCCTTCTAAAGACTTTTAGACATGTGGAGTTTATTAAAGTAAATGTTAATTTTATAACTCGTAGAAGCTATGCTCGCTAATGTGGACAATTTTCAAGAGGAAGAAGAACCAAGAAAATCCATTTACAATTTAGTGATTTACACTGTCATATGTGAGTGCCTGTCCCTGACTACAATACTTGACCATGGTAGAGATCTAACACTCAACCATTTAGCAGTGTGGAGCCAAAGAAATTTCAGGTGGCCCAAAGTGATCAATAAAGCTATTAAAACTATGTGGCTTATAGTAATTGTTACTGAATGAGCTGTCCCTGGAGCTGACTTGCTTTCTGACACTGAGCAAGTCTTCTAGCCTTGTTAGATATAAGTAACTGGATTGATTCTTCTGTTGAGAAAAAAAAAAAAAAGGCTTGATGGTTTGTTGGAAATGTTCACTTCCATGAACTTTTTTTTTTTTAAATATTTATTTATTTTAGAGAGCACTTGAGCGTGGGGAGAGGGGAAGGGAAAGAGAGAGGATCTCGAGCAAACTCCCTGTTGAGTGCAGCCCACACAGGGCTCGATCTCACGACCCTGAGATCATGACCTGAGCTAAAATCAAGCATCTGACGCTTAACCAACTGAGCCACCTAGGTGCCCCTCTCTTCCATGAACTTTTTTTTTTTTTTAAGATTTATTTATTTATTTTAGGGAGGTAGGGAGGGGCAGAGGGAGAAGGAGACAAGCAGACTCCCCTCTGAACATGGAGCCTGACACGGGGCTCAATCCCAGGACCCTGAGACCACGGCCTGAGCTGGAATCAAGTATCTGGTGCACAAGCGGCTGACCCACCCAGGCGCCCCTCTTCCAGGAACTTTTTAAACAGTTTTATAGACAAATACAATTGACCAAAGTACCGCTGACTTTCCTATCCCAAATACCTGAAATCACTCAGGCACAGAATGATGGGCACATTACACCCAATAAACAGACACCAAAATACACAGAAGCGTTTGAAAACAAAGGTGACCCCTATAAGCACAGAATCGTGACTGTTACAATGTCAAATTGCCATTTTTACGTGGTATCTATTTTATGAAGAAACTGTGTGGCCTCCTAACTTCTAAAAGGCACAAAAAGTGTGCCACTGGATCTGGGCTTTGACGCTTACCTGGACCTAAGATGAGGGTTCCGCCTTGCTGAGCAGGGTCTCCTTGAAAATCAAAAAGAGGGCCAGTCACTGCCCTCCACAGGCTCCGAATGCTTCCTGAGAGTATATTTGATTTTATATGGGGGCTCTTTCCTGAAATATTGGGAATTGTCTTTAGATATCATCATTTTATATTCAATTAGATATCAGAAGATAATGTTAGTGCTTCTATAAAACTTCTTTTGTTTGAGGTATAGTTGACCCAGCACGCCCTGGTGTAGACTGTGGTGATGCCGCGACCCTGCACGTGGGCTGGGCTCACTGCACGTCAGCTGCCACCTGCCATCATACGAGGCTGATACAGAATCGCTGACTCTATTCCCTATGCTGTACCTCTCAGCCCCGTGACTTATTCAGTCCATACCCGAAGCCTGTATCTCCCACTCCCCTTCACCCATTTTTGCCCATCCCCCTTGAAATATTTTTTCTTGTGTTATCTTACTTCCAACTTGTCGTCTTTTCTTCCTCCAAAGAAAGGTTTCTCAGCCTTTCCCTATTGACATTCTGGACCACGTAAGTCTTCATCCAGTGCAACGCAGGGTGGTTAGCAGCATCACTGTCCTGCATACCCACTAGATGCTGCCGTACCTTCACCACGTTGTGACAAACCAAAAGTGTCTCCAGATAACACCAAATGTACCCTGCTTGAGAACTACTACTTTAAAGAAGTGATGATATACCCCAATCATCTGCCACAGAAAAATGTCCACTACAGACTTCTCAAACTGACAGTGCTTTCTCCCACCATTTTTTTTTTAAAGATTTTAAGTAATCTCCATACCCAACATGGGGCTCCAACTCACAACCCCAAGATCAAGAGTCACATGCCGTACTGACTGAGCCAGCCAGGTGCCCTTAATGCTTTCCCTTTTAATACATCATTTATCCTCTGTTTAATTTCTCACCTACTAATACGTAACCACACTCCCTTTCAAGAGACACTGTGGCACAGACCAGTATATGCTCCTCAAAACCCATTTCCTCTTTCTGGGCCCACAGCTGAACTACATTTCCAGTCTTCCCGGCAGTTCCTTATGGCCATGTGACTAGGTTCTAACCCATGAGTAGAATGATACGGGCCACTTCCCGGCCAGCTCCTTAAAACCTCCATGTTCCTTCTACATTCCTGGAAGCCCCGGGATGAAAATGACAGAGCCACAAGGTGAAAGGGGCCTGGGCCCCGCCCCCTGGCTCCCTGCTGTACTGCTGCTTGGAGGAAAGGCATCTGAATAGATATGCCATCTTGAAGAGAAGAAGAACTAACCTCTCCCGTGCTGTGCCGCTGAGACTTGGGGAGCTGTCTGTGACGGCAGCTAGTCCAGCACCTCCCCAGCTCCCCCTGGCTGTCAGTTTTTCCATCTCCTTTCCCACACGGACTAATACTTCACTTCCGCTCCCTCTGAGCAAAGGGACCCACTCTCTTTACCCTTCTCATAACTTATCTTTCCCCATCCCTGCCTTTTATGTCTTGCTTCGGCTTTTTATTTTGATGGTTATGCTGCCTTTAGCCTGCCTGAATCCTTAGTATTTCCAGGTACCTATCATTTCCCTTCCTCTCTCTGACTCTTCTATTTCTTTCATGTTTCTATTATGATGGACATTTATCTCACCAAGAAACAAATACAGGCCCATTACCTTAGAGACATGAGTAAAAGACTAAATTTTACTGTTTTCTAGGATTCTATGTCTAAAATAAATATTCAGAAACCCAAACTATCTCTTCATGTCCAAAGAAGGGGTCATTTAATATTTCTGAAATTTCAGAAATTCAATTGAAGGAGATTCCATGACCTAAAATTTAACAATCTTTGCCACAAACACAACCTAATTTTGCCCATTTGAATTTAGTTCTTTTGTATAAAACTCCTGTTTTTTAGTCTTCTACAAACCCATTACTCCCTGGCATTTAAGGGCCTTATTTTCTTATTGTCTTTATAAAATGTCCATTAATTTAAAATTATTATATTTTTTTGATCTTTTTTATTTTTTTATTATGTTATGTTAATCACCGTACATTACATCATTAGTTTTTGATGTATTATTATATTTTTTAGAGTCTTACTCTTCAAGTGGGACTATTCTGAGATTTCTGCTCTTTCAGAGAGGAACTTTTAAAAGTTGATTTTATGAGAGAATAATATTTTCTGGTTGGAAATACAGTACTTTGACACAGGTCACAGGAGTTTAAAAGATTTGAATATACCTTCTCTAATAATTATAAGCATATATTTTGTTTAGAGTTCAACTGTTTTCTTTGCAATTCTGTATTTTTATTGTGTGATGAACCAATGAACCATGAGGTGTTACTAAGGTGAAACTCACAGTTTAGATCTAAAGTGCTAAATGATAAACAACTTGCACAGCTGGGACTGTTACAACACAGAAAACAGTCTACCAAGAAGTAAGGCTCACAATGTACACACTGCAATTTCCTATACCAAGGAGAAAAAGGAAAGAGCACACTCTGTGTTTATGCTAGCTCATCATTAGTTTTAATAAAGTTTAGGTTGCTTTCCTTAAAAACATCAGTAAAGGGATCATGTCAACTCTATGTCATAAATAGCTCCTGACCCATCTCCTCCTCTCCATCTCCACTGTCATTTCTTTCTAGTCTATTACTACAACCTACTACAACCGTATCACTGGCTCTGGTTTGGTGAGTTCCAATTACTCATCCACTCTGGACACAGGACTACGACTTCATCACTTCAAATGCTTGTATGACACCCCCACTCCTCCAGAACAAATCCAAACTCCTTGGCATGTCACCCCAGACTCGGCCCGAATTAGCCACAACCTGTCCCTTGGCTCACACCAATTCCCCAACTGGCTAGACTCCGGCCTGACACAGGGACCTGTGCTTGTCCAAGAGTCACAGTTTTTCATGCCTGTGTGCCTTTGCATGTGCTGCTTTCGGTCAGCAGCACCCTTCCCCAGCCCCACTTCACCCAGCTAACTCCTTTAAGAGTGGGCTTAGATGACACCTCCTCCGTAAAGCCTTCTGAGATTCTTCTCTCCCCTCGTATTTCCGGCATAGGTATTCCTAGTACATGTTCTCTATTACAAGCCCTTAAATTGTATTGTAATCAGCTGTTTGCTTCTATCTCCCAGAATAGAGTATGAATTTCAGGATGGCAGGGGGCTGTTTATCACTGTCCTCTTGGGAGCATCCAACAAAGTGCGGATTACAGACAGGAGCTCAACAATATTTGTTAAGAATGAGTGATTTGAGTTTGAGTTCTTTCAACTGGCATTTCAGAAGCCATTCTTTCTACTTAATACAGAAACAGTTCACCTAAAGCTGACGAAGCTCTGTTAAATTACAGAGAACCGCATTAAAGGCAGGGAATGTGGACCACATAAAGACAAAACCTCAAACTCTTCAACTAACTATACTATCTGGACACCTTAAGTGCACTGATAGAGTGTATGATAAAGTACAAGGGGCTATTCAGGTACAATGAGGGAAGGAATAACTTCTGCAGGAGGGGCTATTAAGAGCCCCTTTGAGTTGGGCTTCAAATGAAAACTAACATTTCATCAATTAAAGAACATAGAGTATTCAAAGCCATGGTGTTGAGGTAAGAAAATATATTGACTCAAGCAATATTATTTTTCATTTAATTATGAAAGTAAAATGTACTCATTGTTAAAAATACAAAGGCCACTTTTCTAACTTCCAGACCTTGGGGTAAGCATGGCAATATCTTTTAAAACCTTTTTTTTTAAAAGATTGTATTTATTTATTTATTTGACAGAGAGAGACACAGCGAGAGAGGGAACACACGCAGGGGGAGTGGGAGAGGGAGAAGCAGGCTTCCCACTGAGCAGGGAGCCCGATGTGGGGCTCGATCCCAGGATCCTGGGATCATGACCTGAGCTGAAGGCAGACGCTCAACGACTCAGCCACCCAGGCGCCCCTAAAACTTTTTTTATTACACACACACACACACGTACTCCTGATCTTTATGAAAATGGTTTTTATTTCCACAAAAATAGAATCATACCGAAAACACTGTCCTGCAACTTGCTTTTTTCACTCATTTAGTGCTTTGCCAATAGTCGTCTATGTGATTACGCCCAGGAAAAGAATCTTTGAGAGTCTGCTGTATCTGGCCCACTTACTAGAATCATAAAAAGCAGGCTGATTTATGAATTTACCATTTCTTTTCCCATGCATACATACAGAAATGTGCAAATGCACCATTAGCGTTTTCTGATGAGACGTGTCATGTCTTACCTGAGGCGGCAATTTCTTCACCTCTTTTCATTCCCAATTTTTTATAAATTTCTCTCTCAGGATCAACATAGATTTCATGAGAATACCCAGTCAGTTTGCAGAAAGGCTAAAAAAAGATATTTGGATTTGTATAAGCAAAAATGAGAGAAAAGTAATGATAACCTACCTTTATTTTAGCAAACTTAACCTACACTTAGTGGTTCAAATAAATAATTATGTCTGAAATAGATTTAATTTGTTAGTTTCTCAATTGCTGATATATTTACCTCGATATGATGGTAGGATGACTGTCCAATCACTATTAGGGTGACATCTGCTTCCTTTAGGAGAAAAAAGGGACAGGTACATATTACCAGAAATTATATATATTTTATAAAACTTCCCCTTGTCCAACTCTTTTGTTCCATTCTAATGCCATCTATAGGCTTCTAGAAGAATGGAATAAACAGCAAAATTGTGTGAGTCAAAGCAAAGCAATGTATGCTAAAATGTTCGGTTAATTCAGTTGATCTCTTGCTAAGAACTTCAAAATAATGTAGTCAATAAGTCTCAAAAAAATTCTCTATGCTCCCCCCAAAGGTGTACACTAAAAAAGAATAAAAAATATTGAAGTAGGGTTAATCAGTTTCATTTTTTCACATCCCAATTAATAACGCCTGATGAAAACAGATCTTAGTTTTACAAAGGTTGCCCAATTGCTTCACTCAAAAGCTCACGTGGGGACAAATGTATACGTGCCTGAAAAGAACATATGTATGTGGTTGTCACAGGAATGTGGAAGGCACATCCTAACAAATACAAATTTTAACCTTTAAGATATATTAGTATTTTCCTAAATGAACAACTATTTGGAGTGTTCTTATTAAAAAAAAATAAGGGAAATAAAATATTAATAATTTCTAGCATCCGTGCTTTTGGTCATTATCATTCAACATTTGCAAATAGGTTACTAACATTGAAATTATTATAGTTAGTACGTTTATAAGCAGGCAGTAGCGAATAAAGTAGGACAGAAATAGATCTCTAACGTCTCTCTCTTTTTTGAAGGTGTTGGAAGATGTGTGGGAAGGTGATAATCAGGGTTTGCGAGGGTCTGTTCTGGAGAGGAGTCGTACTCTGCACCTCATCCCACCGGGCTACTTAGAAATGACAGGTGACTTTCACAAGGTCGCCCTGAAGCAGGGCACGCTGCTGCTCACTCTCAGGAAACTTACTTGTAAAAAACTCTTGGGGATTTTGGCCAGATCTTCTACGTATTCCTTGCAAATGTAACACAGGAAATGCTGAAATCCGAACACGTCAAAAAGGACAAGTTAGCGACCAATACCCTCAGGGTTCAGAAAAGACCCAAGTACTTCGTTACGCGTGACGCTAATTAATGCCACTCACAGCGGGTAGAAAAAGGCACGAAGGGCGCCCGAGATGCGTTAAAACTGGGCCGCACCCACTCCCTTAGGCCTCCTCCTTTGCTGGGAAAATGGACTTGGCTTGGCGGGCTGTTTTTCCATTCCTATTAAAGGAAGCGAGAGGAGCTGTTCGCATTCCGGAAGCCTCTAGTGGACGGCAATGGGAAGGGCCAGGCCCAGCTGGACCGCACTCTCGGGTCTTGGGCCTTTCGAAGGACCCGATGTCCCCCCAGCCGAAGCTGTAGAAGCAACCTCCATCCCAGCCTGCCGGCAGAGTCCCTACTCCGGGCCGCCCCGCGCTGCCCGCGCTCACCCGCACGAAGACTACGACGGCCCGACGCTCCCGAAACAGCGCGCCGAACGGCACCTGCCTCCCGGAGGCGTCCAGCACGGGCAGCTCGGCTACCGCTGCGGCCAGGGGCTGCCCGCGCTCGGGGCCGCTCGGGACTGCGGCTGGGGCGGCGCGGCCGCTGACCTGCCGCGTAACCGGGGCGAGGGCGGGCTCGGCCACAGCGCCCTGCATCTGCCTGCCCGCGTTCGCGCCCACCGTGCCCAAGCGGACCGCACTGGTTAGACGAGCGGGGTCGAGGCCGAGCTGGGCGCACGGGGCGGGGCAATCCGGGAGGAGCACGGGGCGCAGGGCGGGGCGGAACGGAGGGCGGAGCGGGGCGGGACGCAGGGGGAGGAGCGGGGCGGGACGCAGGGGGCGGAGCTGCGTGCCACACAGAGCCAGAGCCCCTCTGGCTGAGTCAGAAAACGGTCGCTACAGGCCGAGGCGAGCTTCGTCGCGGCGGGGCGGGGCGAAATGTGGGCGGGGCGCAACCCGGGAGGGGCGGAGCAGAATGCGGATGGGGCGGGGCGCCACCCGGGAGGGGCGGGACGGAGCGCAGGGCGGAGCACAAGGAAGGGAGCCGCGCGGGGTTCGGTCCCGCGGGGCGCTCGGTCGGGGTGCTGGGAGACCGGGCTGTGCGGGGACTGGACGGGGCACACCCAGCCGCCCGGAGGTTAGGTTCCGCTGGTCGCGGTGCGCAGGCAAGCGCAAACCGCCCGCGCGTTTTCTGACTCAGCCTCCTAGGTAGGAAGAGGGAGACGGGTCCGAGGTGAGAAAAGGTTGTTTAGGAAGGAAGCAGGCACTCCCTCCGTAGCTGCCTGGGCCCGTTACTTACCGATGATTCTACAGAAGCAGTTACCAACTTAAAGAATTTTCTACTCAGAACAACCAAATCAGTGATCCAGCAGATTTGTTGTATTTTACTTCTATTCTGTTTTTAACCCATCCCCTCCTTAGTTCTGGTGTTTTGTTTGAGGTAACATTAATATACAATGTAATGATCATATCTTACGTGTAGAATTAAGTTTTATTTATTTTTATTTTATTTTTTCAAGACTTTTTTTTCAGGGGGTGCGGGCTCTGGCTCTGGGTGGCACAATCGGTTAAGCACGTTGGACTGGGTTTTCGCTGAGGTCCTGATCTCAGGGTGGTGAGCTTGAGCCCCTCATCATCTCCCCCTGAGCACAGTCTTTTTAGGACTCTCGCTCCCTCTCCCTCCGCCTCTCCCACAGGAGCGTGTGAGCATTCTCTCTCTCTCAAATAAATAAATAAAATTTTAATTTAAAAAAGACTTTTGGGGGGGCACCAGGGTGGCTTAGTCGTTAGGTGTCTGTCTTCGGCTCAGATCATGATCTCAGGGTCCTGGGATCAAGACCTCAGTAGGGCTCTCTGCTCAGGGGGTAGTCTGCTCCTCTCTCTCCCTCTGCACTTTCTCTCTCAAATAAATAAATAAAATCTTTTAAAAAAAGAAAAGACTTTTTTTTTAAAGTAGTCTCCACCCCCAGCACCACGCAGGGCTTGAACTCACCAACCCCAGACTTGAGCTGAAATCAAGAGTCAGAGGCTTTACTGAGCCACCCAGAAGCTCCAAGTTAAATTTTTAAAATAAATCTTGTGGCGCCTGGGTGGCTCAGTTGGTTAAGCGACTGCCTTTGGCTCAGATCATGATCCCAAGGTCCTGAGATCAAGTCCCACATGGGCTCCCCCTACTCTGTGGGGAGTCGGCTTCTCCCACTGCCTTTGCCTGCCACTCCCCCTGCTTGTGCTCTTGAGCGAGTGCTCTCTCTCTGTCAAATAAAATCTTTAAAAACATAAATAAAATAAATCTTTAATTTTTAATTTAAAAATTTCTAACATTTTACTTTTTTATTTAAAAATTTTCTTTCCTCCTGAATTGGGAAATGATCAAAACATAAGTCATTACATAATTTGATGTATAATTATTAAACATAAAAAGCAAAATTATCTTTGACACTTATTTCTTAAGGACATGAATGGGCTTTTCCCCCCAATTCTTGTATCTGTGAATAAATATTACTCATTTTGCCAATAGAACTCTGCTCAGTATGAATGATGCCACTATAAGGTTTAAAATACATGTCTCTTGATTTATGTTTATGCATTTCTGTTGAGTATACGCCCAGGAGAATAATGAATGGGTCATTGGATGTGCATTTTTTTTACCTTGATTAAGCAAGGAGTTTTTATTTTTCATTTTTATTTTTTATTAAATTTTTAATTTTAATTCCAGTACAGTTAACATACAGTGTTATATTAGTTTCAGGTGTACATATCATGGACATTTTAAAACATGCCCCCAAATTGAAAGAATTGTACAATGAACACTCTTGTATTGACCAGTTAGTTTCTACCGATAATTTTTACTCTGTCATTTTTCTATGCATTTTTCCACAGTTGAGTAAGTTTTTTTCTGATTTTCCACCTCTGTTATTCACACCCCTGTGAAAATATGGGACATTTTCATCACTGGAGAAAACTCCTTTAGTTCCACTCTGTGTGTGTGTGTGAGAGAGAGAGAGAGAGAGTAATTTAAATATTTTTGTATTAAGTCTTGGAACAAGGTGGGATTGCAGCAGTTTGTGGAATTATCACAGACAACAAAAAGCTAAGATGCATAATTTCAACCTCTTTGTGCAGGACAACCAAATTTTTTATTATTAATTTTTGTATTTGAGTGTTGTATTGGCACATAACATTGCATTCGTTTCAGGTGTACAACAGAGTGATTCAACACGTTTAAACGTGCTATGTTCACCACAAGTGTAGCTCCATCTGTCACCATACAACACTATTATAATATCATTGACTATTCTGTATGCAGTACATTTTATCCCTGTGACTTATTCATTTCATAGCTGGAAACCTGTATCTCCCACGCCCCTTCACCCATTTTGCTCATCTACTCCCTACCCCCTCTGGCAACCATGAGTTTTTTCTCTGTGTTTACAGGTCTGATTCTGCTTTTTTATTTGCCTAATTGTTTTATTTTTTTTAGATTCCACATATGAATGAAATTATATGGTATTTGTCTTAGTCTTATTTCATTTAGCGTAATACTCTTTAGGTGTGTTGTCATAAATGTCACGATCTCGTCCTTTTTTATGGCTGCATAATATTCCTGTGTGTGTCTGTGCGCATGCGCACAGGTGCACACGCACACACACACCTCATCTTCCTTATCCATTTGCCTATTGATGAGCTCTTAGGTTACTTCCAACCTCAGTTCCACTTCTGTTTTTTTTTTAAAGATTTATTTATTTATTTTGGGGGGGGAGAAGCAGAGGGAGAGGGAGAGAGAGAATTTCATGCAGACTCTGCTGAGCATGGACCACCACCACCACCCACCCCCCCACCCCTCGCCGCCTAACTGGGGCTCGATCTCTTGAACCTGGGATCATGACCTGAGCTGAAATCAAGAGTTGTATGCTTAACCACTCAGATCCACTTTTCAAGAGTCAGTAAAATAAACCTATTTTAGGGGCACCTGGGTGGCTCAGTCGGTTGAGCCTCTGACTCTTGATCTCCGCTCAGGTCTTGACCTCAGGGTTGTGAGGTCAAGCCCCACGTTGGGCTCCATGTTGGGTGTGGAGCCTACTTAAAATAAATAACCTATTTTAGAAATGTACTAGAGTGTTTCAAGAGTCTTCCCCCTCCCCCAGATGTTTTTTTTTTTTTTAATTTTATTTATTTATTTGAGAGAGAGACAGAGCAAGAGAGCACGAGCAGGGTAGAGGGGCACAGGGAGAGAGAGAGAAGCAGACTTTCCACTGAGCGGGGAGCCCGATGCTGGCCAATCCCAGGACCCTGGGATCGTGACCTGAGTGGAAGGCAGATGCTTAACCAACTGAGCCACCCAGGCGCCCCTCCCCCAGATGTTTTTCAACTAAAGCTATTTGCCAGACTCCTCAAGTGAGATAACCCACCTGTGTGTGTAAAAGGTGGCCTGGGAGGGACAGTGGAGTTTTGTAGAAGTCTCTACCAGTGTGAAAATGAGTAAAGGACACCTCGTTTAAAATGAAGCCCTGAAGGGAAAGCTTTCATGCAAGTACCACTCCTTGCAGCCCGTAAAACCAGCAGGAGGAAGGAAGATAAGAATTATCTTGACAAGGGGCGCCTGGGTGGCTCAGTCGCCTGGGTGGCTCAGTCGTTAAGCGTCTGCCTTCGGCTCAGGTCATGATCCCAGGATCCTGGGATCGAGCCCCGCATCGAGCCCCGCATCGGGCTCCCTGCTCCGCGGGAAGCCTGCTTCTCCCTCTCCCACTCCCCCTGCTTGTGTACCCTCTCTCGCTGTGTCTCTCTCTGTCAAATAAATAAATAAAATCTTTAAAAAAAAAAAAAAAGAATTATCTTGACAAGAGAGGACACTTTTCACATCCTGCTTTTAAGACATAGGAAGATCCCTCTCTGCCCTAGCAATGTGCTAACCACTGCTTGCAGCCAATGACAAACCTCAAATTCTTCTCCAGTGAACTTTTGTTCAAAAACAAACCTCCCAAATTTTCCCTAAAACCTAATAAAAGCTGAACGTCCCTTTGTTTCTTTAGACTTGCCTGTGATTTGCCATAGTTTGTCCCAACTTGCAGTTCCTCTGCTATTGCCAAGTAAACTCGTTTTGCTGGTAAAATAACTGGTGGTTTTATTTTTGAGATTGATGCCAGGTAGTCTTTTAGGCATGCTTCTAGTTCCACCTTAATGTCTCCTAAGGCAGGCTGCAGGCAGGCAGGCATAGGGGAGATTAGGAATTTCTGCATCCTCTAGGAGACCTAGCTGGCCGTGGACTTGGAGGTTAATCCTGCACTGGGGTGTTTCATGGGTGGTGACCAGGTGTCCAGAATTCCTAGGGCAGGGCCCTGTAACAGTCTTCGTCTTTATAAGTTCACCCACCTTTGTATCCGGATTTGCAGTTCAGAAAATATGATCCTCTACTGTATTTGTCTAGTTGAAGCCCTTTAGAGTGCCCCATATCAAGGGCAGAGTGCTGAGGAAGTATCTGTGAGTAGTCCGCCACAAAGCGCAGAAGACACTGATCCTGGGTCCTCTGGCTTTCATTTGTGTGAAGATACATACATTATTGGACACATATATAAGTGCCCTCAGTCTGAGAAGCCCTGCGGTGGGTTTAGACATTTTAAAGCAGAGATCTGTTACTAAATCAAGATATAGGTGTCGGGGTACCACAGTGCACTCACAGGATATTTACAGCAGGATATTTTAAATATTTGAGGAAACAGGTCATCTGTCTGACATCTTGCCTGTGAGTAGAGATAATTCAAGATTTGACATTTCTTCCT